AAATATAACATTATAACATTCGTTACAACAAACACTAGTTACAGTATCACATCTTTCATTATATAAACAATGACAGGTATAACTATTGTTAAATCCAAAATTATAACCTGTAAATATAACATTATAACATTCGTTACAACAAACACTAGTTACAGCATCACATCTTTTATTATATAAACAATGACAAGTATAACTATTTCTATATCCAAAATTATAACCTGAAAATATAACATTATAACATTCGTTACAACAAACACTAGTTACAGCATCACATCTTTCATTATATAAACAATGACAGGTATAACTATTTCTATATCCAAAATTATAACCTGTAAATATAACATTATAACATTCGTTACAACAAACACTAGTTACATCATCACATCTTTCGGTATATAAACAATGACAAGTATAACTAGTTCTATATCCAAAATTACAACCTGAAAATATAACATTATAATATTCGTTACAACAAACACTAGTTACAGTATCACATCTTTTATTATATAAACAATGACAGGTATAACTATTGCTATATCCAAAATTACAACCTGAAAATATAATATTATAATATTCGTTACAACAAACACTAGTTACAGTACCACATCTTTCATTATATAAACAATGACAGGTATAACTATTGCTATATCCAAAATTACAACCTGAAAATATAATATTATAATATTCGTTACAACAAACACTAGTTACAGTATCACATCTTTCGTTATATAAACAATGACAGGTATAACTATTGTTATATCCAAAATTATAACCTGAAAATATAACATTATAATATTCGTTACAACAAACACTAGTTACAGTATCACATCTTTCGGTATATAAACAATGACATGTATAACTAATGTTATATCCAAAATTATAACCTGAAAATATTTTTGCGGTGCGCTATAACCATTGCCGTTTTGAGGATATGCGTTATTTTGAGAATATTATAATTAACGGAGAACAGTCGACATTTTCCGGGTTCGATTTGGGTCTGGATTATGTAAAAAGTCTGCAGAAGAACTAGAACTGAACGAAATTCGCACAATCCGTTCAAATATACCTCAGGAGCCGCAGCAATGGGGTCGTTTTGCCGCATTGCCCAACTTGCCGCATCGTGCCCAACTGCACAAAAACGACTTGTAAAACGAAACTAAAGGTTTCTAATAAAATCCGGAATGGCCATTTGTTTCATATGAAACGAAATATTTTAATATGATGTCCCGCCTCGATTTTTATACGCACACATCTCTGTAAGTGGACGTATATTGTCGGCAACCCCGTCCGTCCGTCAACATTTCCTTGTAAACGAACTAAAAACTCGATTTTTTGATGGAATCAAATAAAATTCGGTATGTGTATACATATTCATAAAACGAAGATTAAGTTCGAATTTGAGCTATTTTCGACCGTTAGAAGCAGAGTTATTGCCTTGCCCAAAAATCTTGAATATTTACCACCCGCATGCCGTGGTGGGCGTATATGGCTGTGGTCCACTATCTAATTTTCTTTTTCTAAACAATCGCAGGTTTGTCGATTTTTGTAGTTATTAGTGTGGAGCCAATCAACCCCAGCTTCTACCTTGTCCACCAGGACATTCTGGGACTTATCTGGAACCAGTGGGGGCTGAGCCACTGCCGAATTATAGAGCACATGGAATACGAGAATTTCAAACTTCTCCTCGCTTGATAATTCTGATTTACTATTCAGAAGATTTTCACTATTCAAAAGATTTTCACTTTCAGGCATTTCAGTTGCCATTTTG